CCTTGGGCCCCATCAATTGTATGTCTCTTTATATTTTACTGCTCATGCCCCGCATAACTCTCATTGATCAACTTCATCACACCATGTCATATTTTAAAACCACTGATCTATTTTACATTGACAATAATATCATATAATAAACATCTTTTCATTTAAAATGTTATATAGAGTGTGTTTGGTAACAAATAAATTGGGTGAATCTGCTAAAAATGAAGTTTATTTTTAAAATCACTAAACTTGCTGAATCTACTGAATTATTAAAAAATTAAATTTAAAAAATATTTTATTAGAAAATAAAGAAACATTAATTAGAAAAAGCAGCTAAAATGTTCATTTATAGTAACTCCATTCAATCCAGGCAGAAAAGTAACTTCAATTTTACTTTTTTGATCATTACAAAATCCAACGTGCGAAATCAAAATTTAAGTATTTAGAGAAAAATTGATTGATAAGGTTGATAAATTCAAATATAGGGTCACCAAACAACACATAATTTTAAATAAAAAATGAGCATGTAAGCATTTTTTTTATTATAAGATCTAGTTTCTTATTATAGTCACTAAATGTCAATAAATCATATTCTTATCCATTATCCTATTTTGAGAATCTAAGATTTGTGGTGACTTAAGCATGAAATTAGTTAATGAAATTAGTTAGAGATGTCATTGCACTAAAGGATTGACAAAAAGGCTAATAACGACATTTTAGTGTCTGAATATTTTCAGTCATTTGTATCTTACAATAATATTTATCCATTTATCCCAAAAAATATAAACATTCAGTAGAATATTCATACATCAACACGGGTCAATATATAATATTTTGTTTTTGTATTTATTATTCAAGTATTCTACCATCGCTAAAAATATATACCAACCTACCAAATCAATCTTCAAAATTTTCTTAAAACCAAATCAAATACATGCATACTAATACAAATATGGTAAAGCATATGGTGCTGAAGCATATCCCTTATGGTGCTGAAGCATATCCCTTATGTGTTGCTGTGAACACATATTTGCATACTAATACAAATATGGTAAAGCATATGGTGCTGAAGCATATCCCTTATGGTGCTGAAGCATATCCCTTATGTGTTGCTGTGAACAAATATTTCAATGCTTTATATTGAATGTTTCTGTATAGTAAATGTCAATAGATCTGAAATTCAAAGAAAAGTGGAATATCTTCCCTCCAAACAATACTACTGCAGCTTCTACTTCTACTTTCATTAAGCAGAAAATGAAATAAAAAATGTTGTTTTGTATCATTTTCATTTTCATTTTTTGTAATGAACAATAATCATTTTCATTTTCATTTACCCCAGTGCCGCAAAGGCTCCCACCTACGGTGGGGGTAGGGGGGTCAGATGTATGCAGTCTTACCTCTTTACTAAAGCACAGAGTGACTGTTTCCGGATGACTCATAGTGAAAATCACGACCAAAATTGCATGAACTGACTGTTGCTTCATTACAAAGAAGCGAAGACAGGTTAGTGAGCCATTTTGTTTTATTCCATCATATTCTCAAGCCAAAAAATAATGAATCTTTGGATCCATTGCAAATGACGGAAAGTTTGTAATGAACAATAATATTCTGGGAAAATCAAAATAAAATATTTTATTAACATTTGCGGAGTATCATTTAAATAGGAAAATATAAACAAATAATAGTAGAAAGATACTATATTTGACATTTGACTGAATCTGCACCCTTTAGGGCATTTATCATCTAAATCCATGTGCCTATCTATGGGAGGCCATGAAAGTAGTATAATCAGTGAGTAGATCAATTGTCATTCAAGAGTATAAATAAAGGCCGTCAAAAAAGTGCTAGGGGCAACCTTAATTTAGAACTCAATTCTTGAGCTAGCTGGTCTTCAGTCAAAACCTGAAGTAAATGGAAATAAACTTAATTTATTACATATTTATGTATGACAAAGGTATGTTAAAAAGCAGAAAATAAACTTTAACTGGTCATAGCCTAGCCTCCCTGTGAAGCATTGACAATGAAATGCTTAAAGGCATTTTTATCAATGGCCTAAAGGAGGAGATCAAAGCAGAACTCAAACTGTATAGGCACAGAGCTTGACCGAGCTGATGGACCATGCTCTATTACTGAAAGAAAAGAATGTGGCTCTGAGAATAAGAGGTAGCAAGGATGAAGAGAAGGGAGTATGTAAAGAACAGGGGGGACTGGTGGAGACATAGACCAAAATAATACCAGCCTCACTAAGAAGGTTCCTGTCAATATTAAAACAAAGGAAGCACCAAAATTTTACCAAACATTGGAGGGAGGCCAAAGGTTGTCACAAGCAGAGCAACAAGAAAGAAGTAGAAAGGGTATGTGTCTCAATCAACATCTACTTTTCCGTTTACTGTTCTGGTTCTTATCAGTATAGTGTGAATCCACGTGCCTATCTATGGGAGGCTATGGAAGTAGTAGAATTTATGAGCTAGTTGATCAAGAGTATAAAGATAGACCATAAAAAAGAGCTAGAGGCAACCTTAGTTTAGAACTCAATTCTTGAACTGGTTGATCTTCAATCAAAATCTGAAGTAAATGAAAAGAACATAGTTTATTAGGTTTAATAAAGGTCAGTGTAGTTAAAAAAAGCCAAAAATAAACTCATTAATATAGCCTTCATATGATTATCCACTACCTAACAATTTGAGGGCATACAGAAAAAGCTGTCATCAAGATAGACATTTTTATAGATGATTTAGTTCAATCTAATGCGTTTTAGAACTTTTCTAGAAGGATAAGATGTCACTCCAAAAGTATTTCTAATAAGTAATATGTAGATTTAAAAAGCATAGCAAAACAGTTCATTCCAAAAGCACACCTTTTCTTCATTTTTTCCATGAGTTGAATTACTTTTTAATTCTTTTTAACCCCATAGCTTAGTAGCCAGAAATATTTTCCTTATAGTTAATTTGAATTGTTTTTGAAGTCTGAACTATTGAACCTCTATTAGTATGGTTCTGGAAATAACTCTTCTGAGGCATTCTGTGATTTTGAGATCGAAGCAAATTAATTATTGTAAACTTAGAATACTTACATCTTAACATATTTACTCAAACTAAAAGTTTTGTGCATGAAGAATGTGCCACAAAGTTTTCTTTCACCCCTTCCACCTTGAAGGTGTAAAGCAAGATACCTAGGAAAATATATTGATGAGGATAAGAATTTTACAAAGACATAAAAGACAATAAAACATGAAGCACAACACTCAGATGAATTTATCCCATTGTGTATTATAAAACCTATTTCCATCATTTTCAATAAAGTCAAAGACTCACTATTTTTTGGCTTGAGAATATGATGGAATAAAGCAAAATGATTCACTAAACGGTCTGCGCTTTTTTGTTATGAAGTAACAGTCAGTCTATGCAATTTTCGATGCAATTTTCACTATGGGTCATTCGGAAACAGTCTCTTTGTGCTTTAGTAAAGGGGTAAGACTGCGTACATCCGACCCTCCCTTACCCCACCGTAGGTGAGAGCCTTTGCGGCAATGGGGTAATGATGATGATGATGATGGTGTATTATAAAACCTGGAAAAAGATTAAGGCCAACACAAATAGATTCAAATATACGGTGATATTAATGTGAATACAACCAAACCGTGACAATAACGCTGCTAATGAGAGTTGTTCCTAAGAACTCAGAGACTACCAAACCGTGACAGATATTTATGATTTCTTATTTATATTGATAATGATATTAATGTTTTCCTAATAATGATTAGTTACAAGATGACTGATTCATTTATATTTTAACAATTTTAATAATGTCCTAATGATAATGATAGCCCAATCAATCATTTTTTATGGTTTCGAGATTTTCATTGCTACTCTAAAAACTTACTTGACTAGTATGACTTATTAAAACTCTTTGAAGTGTACACACAAGAGAATCCATAAAATAGGAGAAACTTTGTTCTCATTTAGTTGCCTTGAATCCAACTTTGTCTCTACGCACTTGAATGATCGATTTAGGGATGGACTCAGTTCAGGCCGCATGCCCGGAACCGGCCCAATACTGTTTAAAACCGGCCCGGCTCGGCCCGGAAAACCGGTTCCGGGCTTAGGCCTGGACCGGGTGTAAGCGGTTTCAATTCCGGGTCTTGCAAAAGGCGAACCGGCCCAGTCAGGCTCAGTTCGGGCCTTTTTCTTTGTTTTTTTTTTGTTTTTTCATTTTTTTTTTGTTTTTCCCAGGTTGGGCTAGGTGTTTTATTTGGGGGAGGGGGGGTTAGGGGTGGGGGTGAAGGGGGGAGGTCAAGGGTTAATTAGAAAAGCAAAAGAAAAAAAAGAGAAGTGAACCTGCCCCGCCCAGCTCGGAACCGCTGCCTACCCGGGCCGGTTCTGGTTCTCCCTTCACAAAAAAAAGCCCGGCCAGGCCCAGACCCGAACCGGCCCGGGTCCATTCCTAGATCTATTTAATGATTTTCTCAGAGTTTGTCCAAACTCCAAACAAAATCTGCAATATACAATTCTTATTTTATAATCACATTGAGTAGATGTTATTTTTGGAGAAATTTCTGGACCAACTAAATTGTCGAAGAACCATTTGGTAAAATCAATTTCAACCCCAATTAGGAGCAATAAGTAGACGACTAAGAAAATCAAGCCCAGCTATGCCCCAAACACATCTTTAGTTTAACACCCACAAATAGCAAGTTATAATGGTACGGAGACACAATCAGTGTCTGATTCATCCCAACAAAAATTAGAGATTCAAGCATTGCATTTAGAATTGGGATTTAAGGTAAACACACATTCAGATCCCAAACAAGAAAACTCTATATGCAGATTAGCAGGCGACTAATGACTGGGCTCCCATATAAGTAAAAAGGAAATAGAAATAAAAAGTCAACAAAGGAAACCAACAATGGCAAAGTAGTTCACCTAAACGAGATAAAGCTCAACCAAATAACATCAAGGGGATTGCTTAAGTAGGAATGAAGAATGATAAAAGCCCCCACCCCACCCCACCCCTCACACACAAAAAGAACACTATTCGAATGCATCATCATCATCGGGAAGTGGCATGTTAGCTGCATCTTCTAGCTCTCTTTCATGCCTGAAAAGATAGCAATTGGGTGAGATTAAAATCATAAAAAAATGTACCAAAACAAACTAGGATTCCAATTCCGCGTGGTGCTTCAGATTTTGGTTTTCAGCTTTCAACATAATCAAACTCTTCTCAACTTTTTTCCCTTCCCTCCAAACCAAATAAAGGCTAATGTACATAAGTTGAGTTAATGACAAAAATATTTCACATTTATGTACACTGTTGTTAAATGAAGATCACACTAAAAGCTCATCTATTAGACATTTATTAGAAAGTTATGTTTCACAGGGAATTTTTATGTTCAACCCCATTAACGCATTCTCAGTCTCACCCACAGTATAAGAAATTCAGGTTATTCAGATACTTTGATCAGATTAACCTTTACCAAACATACACATAGTTCGATATCTTGCCTTACCTAAATCTCTAGGATACCCTAATTAATTAGCAATGCTTCAATGAGAAACAAAACACACACTTGTGCCTGATGATAAGTATTCAACATTTGAATACGTAATCTTCTTTTGTTACTATATAAAACACTAATCTTCTGTATATCAGAATGCAAGCCTACAGAAATATGTATGTGTCTGAAGCATGATATGCAATAGAAGGGTATCTCACAATTGTTGTGCATCAAGGTCAATTTGTACTTCTGGAGGACGCAGAGCAATGTCACCGCTGAATTGAATAGTGGGGTCCCTAAAGATATCAAGAGAAGAATTAATATATATCATTATGTGCTTGGACATTAAACAATAATGATAGAGCACATGTGTTAAAAAAACAGATACCCAGCAAGCTTCCTGGTAAGATACAAGAAAGGCTTCTCAAAATTATAGTTGCTCTTCGCAGAGATCTCATAGTACTGCAAATTCTTCTTCCTGTGGAATGTAACTTGCTTTGCTTTCACCTGCCTGTTCTTGACGTCAACTTTGTTTCCACAAAGAACAATGGGAATATTTTCGCAAACCCTGTCAGGAAAAATTATGTTCTGGTATCCATATTAGCAATTCTAATTGATTGTTCTATAAGGCCAAAGATAACTTCTTTATAAGTATACACTAAACCTGCAAAGATCACGGTGCCAGGTGGGAACATTCTTGTAAGTCAACCGTGCAGTAACATCAAACATAATAATTGCACATTGACCATGAATGCTACAAGTGGAAAACATTTATAAAATGAGAATATTGTATATAATCAAACGATAACATTAGAACTTCATTATAAATAACATTAAGAACTACAGCAAGGCACAAAAATAGGATTTGCCTTTTGCAACTATTAATAGCAATCAATAGATTTGATAAACCTACACATATATCACTGGTTGGAGTGGAAACTATGTATGACGATCATTAATTTTTTTTAATAGTTATAACTTACTAGTAACCATCACGGAGTCCTCCAAACTTCTCTTGTCCAGCTGTGTCCCAGCAGTAGAAGCGGATCTTTCCATGGGTTGTTTGGAAGTCCAGAGGATGAACCTCAACACCAATGGTAGCTGCCGATTTACAAAAGAAAAAGAGAAAATCAGAGAAATATGGGATTAATTAATGATCATGCAATGAAGTGATTATGACTAAGCAGAGTCCCTCACGTTCATATCTCTTCTCGAATTCACCAGTGAGATGCCTCTTCACAAATGTAGTTTTTCCTTGCCACAATAAGAAACCGTTTTTTGGTTCAGCGGTTCATCCAGTGATAATATGAATATGAAAAAAACGGACACTAACAAAAGAGAATGAGAAAACCACATCATCCACAAATTGAACATACCAGTCCCTCCATCACCAACTATGACAAGCTTGAAGCTTGGGTAGTCCACAGTCTGCTGATTAGGAAGAGCCTACGAACAGCATATAAATCTCAAATACATTCTAACCAATCTCGAAAGAATAATCAAATACACAATTGATGGAGAATTGTAGGAGGATATGTCAAAAATATACTCTACACGCACATATATTGACACACATCAACCTGTAATATTTAGGGCATGTAATATAAATCGCTAGTATCAAACATTGCAAATGCATACACACACGTAAAAATATGCTCCATAATACTGTGAACAGTGGAAAAAGAAAGACAAAAATCAATAGCAATAGCTCGCCACGAAATAGATAAACTATTACTCCCTCCTTCCCACTTTGATCATGATATGTCCCACTAAATGGTAAAGTTTTTGTGTTATAAATCATTCTTACTTTAACATCAATCACACAAACTCACTTTTATTAATAATTGTGTGGAGGGGAGGCATTACTCCATTACTGTTAAACGAACGCAGACCGAAACGAAGAGATAGGCAGATCACTGTATGAAACTGAAGAGCCGAAGCAAAATAGGGAACAGAGAACTACTCCGGCTGTACCGTGCGCACGGTACAGCCGTCGTTTTCTTTCCTTCTGGGCTTAAGTGCGCTACCTTCTCCTTCTTCGATCTAGCTTCGCTACCTTCGCCGACGGCTTGCTCGATCGTTCCCTTCCCTATTCGCTGCTGCTCGTTGCTCGTTGTCGCATATTCACAATCATCCGGCAAGAAAAACGGACTCAGACTCCAGCTTGTGCGCAGAGACCACAACTCCGACGGATGAATAGGGCTGCGCTTTTTTTCTTTTTTTGAACTCTTTCCGTTTAGGTTCAATGTTATTGGCAACTTGTTTGGCTTTAACTCACGAGAAACATTAGCTATACCTAGTTGTACATATATGGACATATACAAAAGAAATTCTGAGCATTGTACACATTTTAAATGAGTTTTTTGATATTTTTGAATGCTCATTTTGTAATTAATGTGTACTCATTTGATATTAGTGATCTCAAATGAGCTTTATATTAAACTCAAATGAGTATACGCTTAAAAAAATGAACATACACAAATTACTATTGAACAAATTAGAAATGAGTTTTATGTTAAACTCAAATGAGTATAACGCCCAAAATGGATGAACACACACAAATGAGTTTTTTAATTTTTTATACTCATTTTGTAAGTTATGTATGCTCATTTGGTACTGTTTTATGCTCATTTTAATAGGAAATCTCAGAAGAATAAAAGACGTCATAGCATGAGGACTAGATCACAGTCCAGAGATTTTCCTTGGGATTAGTTTTTATCTTTTATGTTTTTTTCTTTTCCTTTTTTGTGTGTTTGCTTTTCTTTTACTTATCTTCTTGCACTGTAATTTTTACTTTATTTATTGAATAAAATCGTTTTTATTGGAAAAAAAAATAAAAATAAAAAATAAAAGGTTGCACATATCAAATATAACGCCCAAAATCAATGAGCATACACAAATGACCTTTTGAATTTTTTGATACTCAATTTGTAAATTATGTATGATCATTTCGTACTGCTTTATACTCATTTTAAAATGATGCACATATCAAACATATCATACTACATTATATTCACATATTGAAATTATTTATAAACATAATCTAAGATTTTCTATAAACGAAAAAATAATAAAAAGAAACTGAATTAGAAGGTATGAAGCAGAGATCATTGGTGTTCATTGTTAGACTCCTAATATTCAGAAGAACGGACTCGATGCTGATCCAAATTACATCAATGCTCATTTAAGAGAAACCATAAACTTCATCATTATTTACAAAAATGCCACTGGCTGTACGGTGCCAGCCGTACGGCCGGCTGTATGTATGGTATATGCTTCCTACCAATGTGGCAACCCTAGATGTCTAATGAAGATATTTTGAAAAATAAATCTATTTATCTGGATTTGCGAAACGCGTGGAGTTTTGGAATGAGTAAGCCTTATAATTAAATAGTATTTAAATCTATTTATCAATGTGGCAAGGCTTATTCCAAAATATTTAGTTTTTTCTCGATTTAGTAGGTTTCCTCATGCATGTATTCTTATTTGTTCTTACTTTATTTACTCACTAAATTCAAAATATGACATCTAGGGCTACCTCATTGATAAGCCTTGCCATTATTCACACATGATATCACACGAGTTCTAGGGTTTAGTCAATATTCAAAAAATTCCGGCTACCATGACCTATCCAGTGGCGTATCCAGAAAAATACACCAGCAGGGGCGAGTTTACCTTAGATTAAAAAAAACACTAGAAAAATTAGACTAATCAGATTAAGAAATAAATTGTAAAATTAATTATTAATAACAAAATATTCTCTCAACAAAAACATTTTTTTACAGCAACAAAAAAAACTTTACGGAGTATGATATTATTGTTCAATTAAATTTCACTTGTTAGAAATAATTTTATAACATGGCATCTGTAATTTGTGCAAAATTATACCAATATATAAATGAACCAACTAAGGGAAGGATCAAACATTTACTTAAAATTAATTTAAATTGAAAATTTACATGTATACAAAAAAATTAATTTATTTTATGTACAAAATCATCTCATATGTGAAACTAGAATGGTAGGTTAGTAAGTATATTGATGTACGGAGTAGTTTATATCTTTTCAACAACAAAAAAAGTTTTTTAAAAAAAACTATTTCAAGGCTTCAAGAGTAAAAAGCAACAAAAAAATAAATGAACTAAAGCAAAAGGTTCGAACCCACGACCCTTTATAATATGAAAGCCTGCTAACGCATGCACTACTCTCCACTCGGCTACAGGTGTACATAACATCATTTATCGCGCTTATTGCTATATATTGCCATATTTAACACAAAAAACATAAGTATAATTTTAAATTGGATATATATAGGGGTTAGGTGGGGGTTGAGTGGGGGCAGCTGCCCCCCTGCCCCCACACTGGATACGCCCCTGGACCTATCCAAATATCTCCGCTGCCGCTGAATTGAGCCCCACCACCGTCGTATCAACGCCGGTGACCGATGCCCCCAGTACTGAGCGTGGTCCAATCATAGAGTTTCTCTTCAGCACTGGTACATGTCCTTACTGAGATGCCGTCATCGCCGTTGTCCTCTGTGTTTGTCTCTACAACACCTGCTTTGACGTGAGTCCCACCTATATTTACGTGGACGCCGATGCCACCTACCCTGCAGCCGACGTTCTTGTATTCCGTTGACTCTCAAGCCGAGTCCAGCGCAGCTATGGCGGCTCGCAAATGCTTTTCCGGATCAACTCTCTCCGGGAACCCGGGGTTGCTGCTCAGCCGAACCATATGGGTCAATCCGGTACAATTTTTCACAATAGCTTGCATCATTGGAAAATGAGTCAATCTAATGTCACAATAAACCTTTGTGTAACTTGGATGCATGTGTCAATTTAATATCAGTATCCTTATTCAATAAACTTGGAATATGAGTGAAAAATCTCGACATACAACTATGGCTCTACAATTGGCAGTTGGCACACCGCTCATTGAAAAACCTCTAGGCATAACCAATGGTGCCTTGATAAAAGCAAAAAAAGGAATACTACCCTTCCGACTTCGTAGTTCTATACATGGAGGAAGGATCGACCCCCTTATTCTCGGACGATCCTTCTTAGCTACATGAGGAGCACGATGTCGCCAATGGTTGGTCCTTGCCTAGTAGTCCGGCCTTCCTCTCTGGCCAACAAATCTGGAATAGCCCCATTCCGTCGCAGGTGAGTAGAGGCTCTCGCTGAGATGGGGTTGTTTTGGTTGAGCTCTGTCGCCAATTGATTTGGGTTCCCATGGCTTTCTGAGTGGTGAAAGACGAAAGGCCCAAAGGAGAGGGAGGATGGCCGCTCCTGATCTCCGATTGCGTTGACTACCAAAGCGTCGGCGGCTCTAATGCCCGTTTCCCCTGATGTCGCCAGAGCGCCCCTTCATAACTCTAACTGTAATTATAAATAATTACAATTGTAACTATAATTATAAAAAAATTACAATTGTGTTAAATACTTGGTATAAATTTTGCCTTTATAAACAAGATGACATTTATGATTATATGTTTTTGAAACAATTATAATAATTTAAATATTTTTAGACACAATCATTAAAGTGTGCCTCCAAATAGCACCTTTTAGAGGCAATCATAAAAGTGTGCCTCAAAATAGGACTTTTCAGAGGCAACCATAACAGTGTGCCTCTAAATAGCACCTTTTAGAAGGAACAAGGATAAAGTTGCCTCAAAATTTCTAAATTAGAGACAATCATGATCCATTTGATGCAAAAGTGGGTTTTTAGAGACAATAATATGTTAGTTGCCCCAACAAGTTGCCAAGTAATAGTGTAATTCAATAGTACATGACTTTGATGAGGAGGGAGTACTCAGAGAAGTGAAGCTACAATTCCGCTGGCCATCTACTAAAAAATAATTTTTTAATTAATTTAAGTCATATTTAGGAAAATAAAAATTGAAGTCATATTTAAGGAAATGAAAAGGCGGTCTTCCAAAAAATAGGAAATGAAAAGGTGATATGAGTAGTAATATTGAGGCCATTATTTTTTTGATAATTTGGCCAAAAAGAAGCCAAAGGTTTTCTTAAAAGAATATGGATGGTGAATACCTAATTGACTTTTCTACCAAGATATCTTTAATTACAATCACGGGCTATGATCAGGAAAGATCCGATCGATATTTCAGTTGTACCCAAAATAATAAAGGAAAGATCCGATCGAACTCCCAGCAAACACAGCCACCCCTAGTAAAAAAAGTATAACTGAAAGTAGATACTTTAGAGAAAAGATACAATTCAAATACTTAATTGCATGCCAGCAAAGAACATTGTCCAGGTCTTCTGCAACATCGAGCTTATATTCTACACTCCAATTAAGTACTCCATCCACATAAAAATAAGAAATTTAAACAATGACTAGACGAAGTAAACGTGCGATGCACGGGGTATATCTAGAATTGGACATTTGGACAATAACTTATTTAAAATGTTTTATCATGGTATATTATGTGTTTGTTTTGACAAAAAAATAGAGTTTATATGTTGTAAGATTTATTATACACATAGTCGTAGTTGTAGGATAATTTGAATCGTATGAAAAAATGAAAATAAAATTAAAATAAATGATAATGTGTAATCATAAGTTCCACGTGAAAAATAAATGAGCCCTGTCTCATTAAAATTTATAAGATAGAAGAACAGTCATATATGTTGACAATGGAAAAAATCACAAATTTTGAAAAACTTCTTTATATACCACATTAGTCGTGGTGTTGATAGCGCGACCCTCGTCATCACATATAAGAATCTTCAACTCACTTCTTGAGGTAACCCTTGACATAGCCACGTACAATTGACCGTGCGGAAAGACATATTTTGGAAAATATATGCCCACTTGATCCAAAGATTGTCCTTGACTTTTGTTTATCATCATGGCAAATGAAACAATTATTGGAAATTGCCTGCGCTAAAATTTGAAAGGAATTCTGCTATCCGACAGGACCAATGATAGTCGTGGAATCAAAACCTTTTGACCAATACTTTTTCCGGTTATAACTTTCGCCTCTAAAACAAATTTACCTAACCTAGTAATAATCAAGCGAGTTCCGTTGCATAAGCCAGAGGACTGGTCAAGGTTTCTCATTAACATAATAGGAACACCAACCATTAGTCCCAATTTATGGTTCGGTATCCCTGGTGCATTGATGGTGTTTAGAAACTTTTGAGTATGCACTTCATCAGATTAAGTGCCAATGTTGCCCTCAAGCGAGCATGGACTGTCAAAACTCAAATACGTTCTCATTTCTCCAGGCATCAATGAAATCATATAATTATTTATAAGCTCTACAACATCATTTGTGGGTGTCAAAATAGCTCTTTGCTGAAAATATAATGGATCAGCCATATTTTCCAGAAATGACGGATACGTGCTAACAACAATTGAGGCAATAGGATCACCTGAGGTGGTATTAAGCATATCATCAGGTATATCAATGACGACCTCTCCATCTGTGACATTCCCAATATTTCCATCTCCTGTTTTGAGCACCAAATCCGAGAATCTTTTCAATTCCTCAACATTACAATGTGAAGAACCACACTGCAGCCTCATGTTTTTTTGTTAAAGTGTCTACTTGACAATGTCTCGAAATATATGAGACATTAATAGTAGAACGGACAACCTCTTGCCTAGATGCCTTTGGTATGACTGGGAGTATTTGCCTGAAATCACCACAAAAAACGACAGCTTTCCCTCCAAACAGAAGTTTCAAGCTATCAGGATTGTGAAATCTAAGCAAATCTCTTAGTGTCCTATCTACAACTTCAAAGCAATGTCTGTGTGTCATTGGAGCTTCATCCCATATGATAAGCTTTGCTTTTATTATTAGCTCTGCTAGATGACTTCCCTGCTTTATATTGCAAGTGGAGTCTTCATTCACGTTAATAAGAATGGCAAACTGGGAATGAGCTGTTCGCCCACCAGGAATAAGTAATGATGCTATTGCGCTTGATTCCACTGTTAGCACAATTTCACCTCTGGATCATATACAAGCGGATATTGCCCTCCATATGTATGTTTTACCTGTTCTGTCATATCCATACAGGAAAAACACTCCACCACGATCTTCATTAACACATTGCATGATGGTCACATATATATTCTTTTGCTCAACAGTCATGGTTGACAATAGATGCAAATGTTCCTCAGCCAGAGATGGCCTGTCATAGTTCAGCTCATCATGGAGAAGTCTATTCTGTGATTCAGAAATCAATGACCTGTCAGGTCGTGGCATGGATGGGAACTCCATCAAAGTTTTTCCATTTTTGCGCAATAACTTCTCTATCTCGACCAAAGTAAAACTCTTCAATTCATCATCCGATAGAATCAGCTCTGTCAAAAAAGAAATAAATAATTCTATCATATTTCCATAAATGATTTATTATTAGTATTATTGAGTGGAACTAATGTATGTGGTTGTAACAATTAATATTATAAATCAAGAAAAAGTAGTAATATACTTACCATGAAACTGTAGAAGCAATCTCTGTCTGTGCTGAATATCATCGCTCAGATACTTCCAAGTTTTTTCCCAAACCACGTGCGGTGTACACATTTGGTTAGACACCATTAATATAGCAAAGAAGAACCTCATATACTCCCCAGTTCCCCAAAAGCTGGACTCTATGATAGCATCGATGTATTCTTTATCATCACCTAGCAATCCTAATGCATTACACGCATCTTTGAATGTGGGATACACAACGTTGTCAATTGTTCGTATTTCAACAAATGATCTTGGTCCCATGACATGGTTCAACAACGTAAGCAAGTAGTATAATTCACCTGTTGCTGGAGGCACAAAATGCAATCTCCCAACGGTGTCCCCCCTTTTCCTATGAATCCATTCGTGTCCAGTTTGCTTCCACACAAACTTCGAAGGGAACTGAGCATAAGTTAGACCTCTTGCTTTAGAGTATTTCTCATTTGCATCCGTCCATGCAAGGAACTTTGTTGTCTTTTGCGCTTGTGCATCCAAAACCTCTTGAAGAGAATCACCTTCGTCAAATATTACATGTTCACCCGGCAAGTGAAATGTTAGTCTCTCAACAGAAGGTTCTCTATAATTTATGTCAAAGGCAAAAAGTTTCCATGCAGCCTCACACGATGACAAATATCGACAATCATAATACAACTTTATTTCATCTACGGGTTTTGAATCAGCTTGATGGAGTGCACCATCATAAAATCCCGCGGTGACACGATCCTGGCCCTTATTCACATATTTGAATAGATACTTGATGGAGCAGGACTGGTTACACCATTCTTCATTTATATGAGCATTATATCTCATAAGAAGATGACGGTTGTAAGGGACGACGAAGCGATTGTAAATGACATGATCTCCCTTTTGTATAACACGGCCATTCTCCTTCCTCATGTACAATGGATAACCGTCTTCATCAATACTCGTCCGCTCAACATACTTTTTCGGAAAGTGTCTTATGCATTTACCGTTTTGCATGCACAGTGATTTCTTATTTTCTACCCCACACGGACCATGTACCATCAAAGATAAGACTATCTTTAGCAATTCAGGGTCAATCTCTTCATCTGGTAGCTCAGCTGATATAATCTTGTCAATATCATCTGGATGTGGATATCTATATTGTGGGTGTAAGAAAATGAATATGTGAGCGTGAGGCAATCCTCTCTTGTGGTGTATATTACTGCATACAAAAAAATGTTGTCATTAAGGAAAATCATGTAATTATTTTATTTAATACAAATTTGGTAAATGTTCGCAGCATTTACCCACATATTTTTGTGGTTCACCCACCAGAATAAAAAAATGTCACTAAGTTAATTGATTTTGATTCAATTTTATTGGGAAAAAGTTATTCACTACACATACCTGCCCTGACTAATCCAAAAACTTTCCCTCCTTTGATCTCCTTAATCATCTTATCGAGTTTGATTTTGAAAACTTGACAAATCAAGTCAGGCCTGTCTTCAGATTTCAATCCTTGGATGCTCAAATATCTAGAGAGTTCGGGCCAATTTTGGTTGCATGTGAATGTAATGAATAAATCAGGATAGCCCATCCAGCAACATATTGCCATAATGTCTTGATAATTTTGAAACATGTATCGTGCACCACCCGTAAAAGATGATGGTAGCACAACACGTTTACCCACAACTGCCGAATTTGTGTCACCCCTTAAAATGGCCTCTTCGATTCCTTTATACATGTCCGCCCTCACTTCTTTCTGATGAGTTCTATAATAGTACAACCGATCTGATTTAATTGTACTATATACATCCACTAACAACTGTTGAAATAGGCGTTTTGAAAACAAAAAACATGCTCGTTCAGTATCTCGATTTTGAAATCTGTAAGCATAGAACTCCCTCATTGAAACTTTGTGCCTCTTATTTGATCTTGCACTTTGAGTCTCATTTAATGAAATATCATTTGTGTATCCTTGCCCCCCCCTTGGAAACAACAATGGATATTGTAATGGCAAATACGCTAAGCTCAAAATAGACACACGCTTCAGACTATTTGATTGTGTTTCCACTATAATATCTCTCTCACCACTGGATGCATTGAAATCCCCCACAATTAGAGCCGCTACTTCCGAGGCTGTAAGAAGATTATATGTTTTAGCATCATGTCCTCTTTGCCCTATAAGCCTCAACTTTAGAGGTGCGACTTCATTGTTCTGCACTCTATCACGAACCATTCGGTAAGCTTTAGCGTAAGGATTGTACTGATCAAGCAATTGTTTTAGATCACTCACAATTGATGTTTGCATAGGAGATGAATCATCTTTCATCCTATGATCACAATAAAAAACATGTATAAGTGAACCATGTCACATCGTTTCAAAAGTAGTGTTCATAAAATGAAATTATATTTGCATACATGGTATGTGGAAAAAATCACTTACCCGACAACTTCCATCCGATTAGATATTTCATTATCTGTATCATATGTGTATAGCTGTGCAAATTTTGGTTTGTCTCCAGGTAAAGGGAGCATGCTTCCAATTCTATGATAGTTCTCACCATTCAAGATAAACACGGGAGGCCCGTTGCCATCATTCTGAGAGACTTCAATTCTCCCACCAAGAGAAGTGAATGAAAACATCATATTGAAGGATCGAATATTTTGTAAGAAATATTTGCTCCGTGCATCCTTCTTATGGAATAAATCGCTTAGAGGCTGTGGTGGAGGCAAGAGATGAGGGATACTTATTTTCCCTTGCATGCAGCATAATGAAAACTTTGGATTTTCTGATTTGCGTCGTACGTTTCTCCACCCTCTCAGAGTACCACATTAAAGCATTACAGATTCACACTTCCATGTCGGGTCCCCAATATCAAAATATCCTAATTCAAAATAAATCAACAATTTAATGATCATCATAAATAAAGAATAAGTAATATGTTGTGACATATGCTTAAAAGTAATATGGTATGGTAATACCCTCATATGAAAGTATAGGATCGTCAGGCAGTGCATTATTTTCACCATCGTCACCGGCGATATGCTCGTTTGATGCATTTCCTACATTTGAGTGTTATATGTCAAATTAATTTAAAAGAGGAATTAAATAATATAGAATGATAATATAATTAAGGGTGAATGTTAGTGTAATCTTGGAGAAAGTTGTTTACCAATTTTAGCACTTTCATTGTGTATGGTAGACTGAATCGAGACTAAAGGGGCATGCCCATTTGCATCAGAAGTGTGAACATCTGTGTGTATCACATGTTACTAATAATGAACGTTATTTGCAGAATAAGAAAAAGTATGTGATATTACCGAGTTCTTCTTCGTTATTATTATTTTCATTATTATGATTCATAGCACATTGACCCGGAGTCACACCAGTTTCACTCCTGTGATCTCCTATTGAAAGAAAAAGTATACATTTCATTGCTAATTTATTCTTGAGAATCAAAATGAGAATGAAATGTATTGACACCACATACCATTATAATGATTTTGTGCGGGTATAGTGAAAACCATGGCATGATTATCATTAAATGCTATCGGACCACTGGACCTTTTTGCAGTATTGCCATTAGTATTTCCTATATTTGAGTGTCATATGTAAAATTAATTTTAAATAAGAAATATATAATATAGAATAATAAGATAATTAAGGGTGACTGTTAGTGTAATCTTGAAGAACATTGTTTACCAATTACGACACCTTCATTGTGTATGGTAGACTGATTCGAGACTAAAGTTGCATGCACATTTGCATCAGGAGTGTGAACATCTGTGTGTATCACGTGTTACTAATAATGAACGTTATTTGCAAAATAAGAAAAATTATCAGATATTACTGAGTTCTTCATTATTATTATGCGTTATTGAACCACTGGACCTCACAGTAGTGGCATTAGAACCTTGATAATGAAAAAAACAAAAAACTATTGATGGTTTAGATTTCATTGCTTTTGTTTATAAATATTGTGTAGTTGATACTGATCTATAGGCTATAGCATATATATCCTCAAACTTTTGTTGGTTCATAAACTACAAAAATAAGAGTGGGGTTCAATCGGTGGATAGGCTTCCAGGTTTAGCCCGAAAATATTACTCCGTATTATTTAGGTGACTTTCTAAGATATCCGTATTTTAGAAATTAGATTTTCTTTCCTAATGGGTATTTACTTTTTCTTTTTCATGTTCTCTGTTTTTTTTGTTTGGGATGTACTATTTGCGCGAGGTTTTGGTGTAGTCTCCCTCTCATCTGTACTATCTTCTTTATTAATAAAATACGGTAATGTTCCTCGTCATTTACCTCACTGTTTTTTGTGTTTTGCCTTTCAGATTAAAAAAAAAAGAAAAAAAAGTGGCGTTGTGGTTGGTCATTCAAGTCTTTAACTTGAAGAGCCCCTTAAAAACGGTAAATGTTTCCATTGGACTTTGCCAACTTTCCTTTTTTGGTTGTCCCAAAAACCTTTGCCACTTTCCTATTAAAACAACTAATTTGTGGTTTTTTACATTTCTCTCTCCTCTGTACAAATCTCAACTATACAGTTTTTACTATCTTTATTTCTCACCTACTTTGCACTTGGCGAAGTCCATCGGGAGTCCGGGATGGGGCAAATTATACCGTATGACCGGTATACCATGCGCATGGTATACCGGTTCACATACGGTGCCGTTTTTCCTCACAAATGGATGACGGAATACATATGGTGCTGCTTAATCATTGTTGAATATGGAATAAGGAATTTAGTTAGTGCCTTAGTGTCACTCCCCCACCCTCATTTCTTTTATTTCCTTTTCGTTTTTTACTTTTAATTTTTATTTACTTTTTTTACTTTGAATGATTCTTTTTTAATTAGGAGCACTAAATGTATTACATAGTAAATTTTTTTGATCAAATTTTCATCATTTCAAAATAAATTAATTACTTATTTTGTCTTAGTCGTTATTCGTATACTCCGTATATTTTTTTTTTCTTTTTTTCTTCATTCAATTGAAATTACAACCAATTTTTCTATATACTTTGTTTTTGTAATACGAAGTATATTTTTTCATATTCATACACTTTTTCCTGTAATATAGTAGTATCTCTTATCTCTTTATATGTTTTTGGTGTTTTTAAGAAAATAAATTTCTTTATTTTGATTACATTTGATAAAATTTTACATTTGCGCATGTGTGAATTATGTTTCAAAACAATTTCTGGAATTACAATTTATAGTATATGAAGTTACATCTTCTTGTGCGCGAGTTACATCTTTCTATGCGCGAGTTAC